TCTTTCCCTTCTAAATATCTTTTCCTGCAGTTTGATTGAGCTTTAATAGACATACAATAAACTGCATATATTTAAAACTTACAATTTAATCATTTTCACACACCCATGAAAGTATTGCCAAAACTAAGATCACGAACATACCCCTCACCTCCTGGAGTCTCCTTGTACCTCTTTGCAATCCTTCTTTCCTTCCCTCCCAGCGCCCCCAGTCTCAGGTAACCACTGATTGGCTGTCTGTCACTATATATTAGTTTGCATTCTATAAAATTTATGCAAATGGGATAATACAATATGTACTCATTTTTGTCAGGCTTCCTTTCACTTAGCATAATTCTTTTGAGATTCATCTGTATATGTGTATCAACAATTCATTTCTTTTTTAAAAGAAATTATTTTATTTTATTTTATTTATTTTTATTTTTTAACTTGCTATAGTCTTGAGAGAGAGAGGAGAGAGAGAGAAGGAGAGAGAGAGGAAGAGTGAGAGTGAGAGAGAAAGGGAAAGTGAGAAAACAAGCAGCCAGGTCTGGAACCCGAATTCCAGTTAGTCATGTGGGAGTCCAGTCCCCTAACCACCCCGCCACCTGCTGGGCCCAATTAATTTCTTTTTATTGCTGTATAGCACTCCATTGTATGTAAGGATGATTTTTCTCCATTTTACTAATATTGAGAATGTGGTTTATTTCTAATTTGCTATTACAAATAAAGTTACTATAAGCATTTCTTATACAAGTCCTTTCTGGTCTTAGGCCACCTATTTTTTGAGGGGTTGGTGGTAAATATCTTGGAAAATGTTAGGTGTATGTTTAACTTTGGAAGAAATTACCAAGCTGTTTCCCAAAATGGTTGTATCGTGAAGGTTCTAGTTGTTTCACATCCTTGCCAACATTTACATGGCCATCTTGTAAATTTTAGCCATTCCATTCGGCATGTAGTGGTTCCTCATTAAGGTTTTAATTACAATTCTCTAGTGACTATGTTTTTTTACGTACTTGCTTTCCATCTATCTACCTTCTCTGCTGAAGTGTCTGTTCAAATCTTTATCTTATTTTTTTTAGAGAGTTTTTTTTTTTTTTTTTTTTTTTTTTTTTTTTTTTTTTTTTTTGGTGGTTTTTGCGCACACGAAAAAGCAGAAATAACCTCCCTCGGGGGATGGCCACACCACATTCCCTTCTCCTCCATTCTTCTCTAGGGATGTTTGGCACATACGCACATGTGCCCGGTGTGAGATTTAAGTCACCAGGTCCGGGACACTAATCATGGTCAACTACATGGGAGTCCAGGGACGTAACCATTACACCATCTGCTGGCCCCATTTTTAGCTTATTTTAAAAACTGTTTTTTCTTTTGGGGGGGTGTGGCCAAGCAGATGGCATAATAGTTACGTTGCTGGACTCCCATGTAGTTGACTGTCGTTAAAGTCCTGGTTCCAGTGATTTAAAACTCACACCTGGCACTTGTGCCTGTAAAATCCTGAGCAGACATGGGAGGAGAAGGGATTGCAGGGTGGCCATCCCCCCTGGGGGGTGATTTCTTGCTTTCTGTCTCTCCATCTCTCTGGCGAGTGCACATGCCCTGTAGTAATATAATTCCCCTAAAAGAAATTGGGCTTTGTTTTCTTACCGTTGAATTTTTAGAGTGCCTTATATATGAGGGACTTCACGTATAATAAAATGGGCAAATGAAATTAAAATATCAGTTAATTCGTTGCAAAATTAAAAGAAAAATCCATGCACTATTCTCCTGATTGTCCTTGATGCTACATCTGGCTTTTCACTGGGTTCCATCTAGCTCCCTTCTTGTCTCCCCTAAACTAAAGCCTTAATGACTTTAGTCAAGCTAGTCCCTGTCCTGAAGTTTCTGAAATATAAGCCTCTTAGATATAAGATGTGCAATTTAATTTTGTCAAAGACCATGGACCTGGGGGGAAGAAATTAGTCAAAGGTCATATAATAAGCCACCTTAATTAAAGTGATTTGGTCTCCTTAGAGAAATATACAATATTCAATTCATTCACATAAAATATTTTTTATTGAGATATAATTCACATACCATAAAATGTACCCTTTAAAAGTGCACATTTCAGTGGTTTTCAGTATATTTATGATGTTGTGAAATTATCACCATCTTATTCCAGAACATTTCATCACCCTCAAAAGAAACCCCACACCCATTAAAGAGTAACTCTCCATTTCTCCCTCCTCCTAGCTCTTGGCAACCACCAATCTACTTTCTGTTCCTCTAGATTTGCCTATTTTAGATGTATCATATAAGTGGAGTGACACAATATGTCTTTTTTTTTGCCTATCTTCTTCATTTAGCATAACGTTTTCCAGATTTATCTATGTGGTAGCTTGTATCAGCACTTCATTCCTTTTTATGGCTGAATGCTATTCCATTACATGGTCATATACTGATTTGGTGATCCATTCACCAATTGATAGACTACTGAGCTCTTTCAACTTTTTTTTATGTTTGAAATATTTGTTATAATTTTGTTTGTGACTCTATAACAACAGACACAGTATGGTTTTAAGTATTTTCAAGAACATATTTACATGTCAGCTACTCAAATGTTGAAAAGTAAACACCCAACACACAATTCACACATAAACCTTCTCAATTCAGCCCTGCCTACCAAGTATTCTGTGATACACCATCTGCCAGCAAAGATCAGTTTCTTTTTCTTCCTCCAAAGTCTTCCTCAAGATAATCCTCTGGTTGTGGCTGCTCTTTTGTAACCTCTACTGATTACAATGCTGGGCTGGAAAAATCCAGGTTATTTTATGGTATGAATTGTTTCACATTACTTCTCTAATCTTCTCTGCCAGGAAGAACTGTTTATGGTGCCAGGCCATCTTTCCAAGAGCTTCTCTTGTTTTACTTGAGATCTACCTTAGGTCCATAGTTTTCTGGTTTAATCTTCAGATATGACCTTCCTGTCAAAGTCCTGTCCAATAATGAGTATTTCCAATTTCTGATTCAAGCCAACAAGTATTATTGAATTTATGCAAATTACTATCCGGCCACAAAATAAGAATACTTCTCCAAATTTTCCAATTCCAGAGGGGTAAGGAAGGGAGAAATGTTTATGTTTCCATTGAAAGAAACAATCAAACAAGAAGAAAAAACATTTTAACAAATTGCTGAACTTATTAATAGCTCAAAAGAAAGCAAAATCCTTAAATTGGGAAAACAAAGCATAGTAAAGAAAAAAAATCAGTAATGTTTTACTCAAAAGTCATAAAATTCTATTTCAGCAGTTCAGTCTTATGTAATTAATCTCTCTTCTGTTGAATTTGCAGCATTACTGTGGTCCAATCTTTTTGTTTAAATCCTGGAAGTTAACATTCAACATTATTATTGATATTTATTGTCCCTAGCTTTAAGTTGGTCATTTTCTTGGTTGCTTTTTCTTCTCTTATTTCTGTATGTGTGTCTTAAGTTTTCCTGGTAGAGCACTCCTTTCAGAACTTCTTGAAGGACTGATCTGGCATTGGTAAATTCTTTCAGGTTTTATCTCAGAATGTTTTTTTATTTTTTCATCCTATATGAAGGATAATCTTGCTGGGTATAGTACTCTTGGTTGAAACTGTTTTTCACTTAACACTTTGAATATATATTCCCATTCTTTCCTTGCTCACATTGTTTCTTTTTTTTTCTTTTTTTTAAACCAAGAACATTTATTGCCTGATTAATCGTTGAAATCCTTAAGATGAACTGCTGCAACAGCTGCTCTCTTGGGTTTGGGTGTTGTTCCTCCACGGAATCCATGCCTGAATCTGCGGTATACAATTTTTAGGTGCCTCATTCGACCACTCCCAGTGATATTACGTCTTTTAGCCTCGGCACTCCAGTTATACTTTCTCTTGCGCTTAGCAGGGTAGCCACATTTGCCACAGGTTGACTTCTGAAGGTGATAGGCCTTAGAACCACAGTGGCGGCTCAACGTGTGCATCTTATTGCGATGCTTCCCAAATGATGACGTTCCCTTGATCATCTTGCTTCTGTGGCTTAGAACAAAGAGCCCTTGCTCGCATTGTTTCTGATGAGAGGTCTGATGTTAGCCTGATGGGATAACCTTTATAAATAACTGACATTTTTCTCTTGCCAATTTTAGTATCTTGTCTTTGTGGTCTTGGCCAATCTGGCTATGATGTACCTTGGAGATCTTCTTGGGTTGATTCTATTAGAGGTCCTTTGTATTTCTTGGGTCTAAATATTTGAATGCCTCTCTAGATTTGGAAAGTTTTCTTCCAGGATTTCATGGAATAGATTATCAATGCCCTTATTAGTCTCTTCACCTCCTGGGATACCAATTATCCTGATGTTTGAGTGCTTAATGGTATCTAATATTTCTTGTATAGTATTCTCTCTCTTTTTTTCTTTTTGGTTATTTTCTCAGTTTTTTCTAGGTCAGAGGTTTTGCCTTCAACATCCAAGATTCAATCTTCTGCATGGACTAATCTGCTTTTAATACTTTCAAGGGAGATTTTGATTTCCTGCATTGCAGTCTTCATCTCTAACAGCTCCATTTGATTCTTTTTTTATGGCGTGTATTTCCTCTTTCAGAGAGAATTTCCTCACCTCCTGGAACTCATTGTCTCTTTTCTCCTGTATCTCTCAGAGTTCATTGTCTCTCAGCTCTTGTATCTCATTAAGTTTTGTCACTATGAACATTCTGAATTCTCTATCAGGCATTTCCAACAAGTTCTACTGTACTGTCTATGGATGATGAAGGATTGTTCTTTTCACTTGGGGGAGAGATATTTCCTTAGTTTCTCATATTTCTCATGCCTCTGTGGTGGTTTCTGGTCATTCTGTGACAAAAATCTCTCTACTGTGTTTTGCAACGTTGTGTCCACACAAAGAGATTATGAGTTCAGATTTATAAAAGGAAGTTTCTTCCTTAAAGTAGGAGGTTCAATAAGCATTGAGGATTTCAATGACCCTAGAAATATTCAGATGCTTGGCTATTGTGCACCTAGGCCTGTCTAGACACTCAGTGTGTGGAGACTTATCTGAGTGTTTCCGGGGTCTAGAAGATGAGATTTACAGTATAATTTTAGTTACCTTGGTCCCTGAACATGCCAGGTCACACCTCAGATTTAAAATAGCTTTTTGTCTGAGTGTTTTGGGGGTCTCTGAACTCTTTCAACTTTATGGCAAACAAATAATGCTGCTATAAACACTTGAATATAAGTTTTTATGTAGACATATGTTTTTAATTCTCTTAGATATATAGTGAAGAGGGAATTGCTGAGTCATATGTTAACTCTATATTTAACTGTCTGAGGAACTGTCAGACTCTTCCCAAGCAGCTACATTATTTTACATTTTTATCATCTATGCACGTGAGTTCCAATTTCCCTATATTGTCTCCAACACTCATTGTCTGTATTTTATATTATGGCTATCCTTGTGAGTGTGAAGCACTAAATCATTATGGTTTTGTTTTGCAGTCACTTAATGATCTATCACAGGCATCTTTTCACATCTATAGTGGTCATTCATATATTTTCTTTGGAGAAATGTCTATTCAAAATTATGTTATCTTTTCTTTTAGAATTATTTATTTAATTTAATTTATTATTATTACTAATTTTCTAAAAAACGTTGCTACAGGAGCACGAGAGAGGAAGAAAAAGAGAGAGAGAGAGGAAGTGAGAAAGCAAGCTGCCAGGCCTGAAACTTGAACTGCTGTTGGCTATGTGAGAGCCCAGTGTCTTAACCACTATGCCACCTGCTGGCCCCCATTTTATAATTTTTAATTGGGTTGTCTTTTTATTGTTGAGTTGTAAGAGTTCTTTATGCATTATGGATACTAGTCTCTTATCAGATGCATTATTTGCAAATATCTATCCCACTTTTCAGATGTCTTTCTTTTCATTTTCTTGACAGTGTCCTTCGAAGCACAGAAGTTTTCATTTTGAGGACGTGTAATTTACACATTTTGCTTTTGTTGCCTATAACTATCTGCTTTTTTTTTTTAAATGGTGAAAACATGTATATTTAGAATTAGTTGTCTGAACTCAGTTTAGACAATCCCAATTTTGTTGGCAATATTTAAAGCATCATAACCAGGAGCCAGTCACATATACACCTTCTCCTCTCTGACAGGCTCAAGCCTGTGACCCTGGCCACATCAATATCACAGAGCTTCTTTTTTTTTTTTTTTTTTTTGTGACGC